ACTTTAATATGTGAACTGTATTTCTTTTGGAAAATCATTTGTGAATATTTGCTGCAGGATTATCTGTTTAACCAGTTATTAAAGTTTTAAACCTGAGTTTCTTTGTGTTCGGACTTCCAAGAACCAAAACTCTGACTGCAGTTAGCGTCTTTGGTCTAGGAACAGACGAGACATCCATTCAGAGGAGCAATAAGTTCACTTTGATTAATAAAAGTTAAGGAAATGTAATTCAGAGCAATACTTTTTAGACTCTTTGGACATTAGCCTGCACCGGTGTACTTAACAAAGTGAGGAGGATCTATAAAGTGATCCCTGAGCATGCTGTAAGTGTAGGAAGAAAACTCTTTGTCTCTCCTCAGTTGACTGAACCTTTGCTTTCTGTCTGCCTGCAGGCGTCCAAACAGGCTGAAATCACCAAACTGCAGGAAGAAATAACAAAGGTAAATCTTCTCAGGGCTGACAACACTCAACCACTGTGTAATAGAGATTTATTTAGCAGTAACTATGCCAGTGAGCTGATATTGGCTATTAAAGGTGCAGCTTTTTAATGCTGTTTCCGTCTCTTTGTCCTGCAGCTGTCTGACAAGCTAAAGAAGAAGCAGGAGAGGTGAGATGACCTAAGCGCAGTCACATTCACAGCTTTTTGACACACAGTTATCGGCCAGTAATGTAGCAGCAGTGCTGTATAAACTGCTTCAGGCGTGGCTCAGTTCACTTAACCTTCAAAGCAGCCATCAGCTTCAGGAGCTGGATATTGTAGGTAGAACACCTGCAGTACTAGAGAGAGAGAACTCCAGCCAAGTAAGACATGAATAAGGATCGTCTTAAACTGTGAATCAAAGCTGCTTGAGTAGAGGTGAAGATTTAAAAAATATATATCCCGGTCTGGAAACAGATTCACCATAATTTTAATCTGTTCTGGGCAACTAAACTAAAGCTTATGTTCTTGTTCTCCTGCAGTTTCCAGCGTCTGCAGACAGAAAAGGAGGCTCTGTACAACGACAGCAGGTCAGGACTGCCGTCACGCCGCTGCTCGTACTCCCACTAGTGTATTGACGGCTCTAACGTCCACGGCTCAGGCTGCGTGCTTTTTTTCCCCTTTAAATGTGCTGCTTGTTGTGGAAATGTTGACCTTTTGTGGTTTTGATTCTCTGCAGGACAAAGATCGATGAGATCAACCAAAGAAAAGAAGAAGAGCTGAAGGCCATGAATATCCGTGTCCAGAGACTACAGACGGACCTCATGGCAGCCAATCAGGTTTGATCTCGCTAAGAAATCGCACCAGTCCATTACTATGTGCATTCCCCCAGCTCCTCTATCATTCTTTCCCCAGTCAGGCAAATGTCCTACAAGGAAGAATAAACAAAGCACAAAACAAACAAAGCACTTTCTGTCTGAAATGAATTTTTTATGTGCAGATTGTTGAAAAACGGGCCGTATGAGCCCATCATCAGTCATCCTCTAGGTGTGATAAACACATAATCTGTGTTAATACCAGCTCTGGGTACTACAGCCCATAGAGGGCGCTAAAGCACACGATAGATGTGTCAAAAGTACAAAATATTCCATATTCCTGGTTAAGTGATGACGTTTGAATCCTGCTACCTCGTCCGAACTCCTGCTGCATTCATTAAGGCTGTTGTCTGTTTAACATGTAGTGATGTGTTGTATCTTGTTGTATTTAATATAATCCACCTCTCTGGCTTTTTGTTAGCACCATTCATGTGCAGCACATCTTTAAGCTAGTTTAAAAATGGATGGATGGTAACTGTGCTACATGGGCTCACGGTTTGCCAAACACCAAATAGCTAAGCTCTACAGAA